CTCTCTCTCTCTCTCTCTCTCTCTCTCTCTCTCTCTCTCTCTCTCTCTCTCTCTCTCTCTCTCTCTCTCTCTCTCTCTCTCTCTCTCTCTCTCTCTCTCTCTCTCTCTCTCTCTCTCTCTCTCTCTCTCTCTCTCTCACCGTCTAAACGCAAATTAATATTTTCATACACTCACTCCCTCTCTTTCGCCCTATTCTCTCTCTTTCTATCTCTCTCTCTTTCACTCACTCACTCTCTCTCTCTCTCTCCCCCTCGTTCTCTCACTCTGGCATAGATTTACAATATTTTGCTCGATTTTGTTGATTTTTTCATCTTTTTTTTTTATTAAAAAATTAAAACGGACGGTTAAATTGGTTTCGTTTGTTGGTGAGCCGATGTCCGCTGCTGAAGGCACAAGGCTTTGCACTTGAACTCGGTCACCTAGCCTAGCTTCACTGACTTACTACGACCTACTACCAACTAGCCTCGCTTACTTTTACTTTACTTAACATTGTCCTACATTGTCCTACCACGCTTTTGTTCTCTCTTTCCCTCTCCCTCTCCCTTTCTATTCCCATCGCGCAACCCCTTTTCATTGCCATTTCGCGAAAAAGAAAACTCGGACGCGCGCAAATGCCAAGCCTCGTCTTCGACATCTTACTCGTCGCGGGAAAACCGTTCTCTCTTCCCGAATCATTCATTCGCTTCGTCATCTTCACGATCAACCGGCGCATCCCTTAAACCCATCTCTTTAATTACGTCTTTCCTTCGTATAAACAATTGTACATGCTAGCAATATATTATTATGCTATGTGTTGCGATATAGACTCTATGGTATCATTATGTATAATCGTATCGTTTGTTATTTTTTTTTTTTAATTCCTTCATCATCATCATCATCATCATCATCATCAATAATCATTTTTTTTTGTTTTTTTTCTTTGTTTACTTCGCACTCGATTCGGCCAGGCCAGATCGCTGCTCAACAGCCGGCCTTTCCTTCCTTCCTTCCTTCCTTCCTTCCTTTCTTCCTTCCTTCCTTTTCTATCCCTGCTTTTTAGCTTTTTTTCACATTAGAAGAGTGCGATTATTGATCCTGTCGGTTCTATATCATCGGTTATAATCATATAACACGATTATCGTAATAACATTTCCAGTCACAACTCGGCCGAAAATTGCACACACGCATACAACAATTTATTACACAGGCACTCCCTCCCTCGCATTCGTAACTCCTCAACTCGTCAACCAACTTCTCTATTCCAAAAGTTGCATTCATACCAACAACGCTTTGTTGCTCCTTTACAACGCGCCCGCTCCTTTTGTATAGCGCCGCTACCTTCGAAACACGTACACGTTATACATTTACATATCGATTCCGGGGGTAGCCAGGTAGAGAATATAGTAATAACATAACTGGTAGGTAGCTCCTTATTACAGTCTCTGTACTGTCTCTACGTATCACAGCCTGGGTGCCTCGCCACTGCCTCTTTCTCACAACTGTCCCTCCTCACGTCGCTGCTAACACGATGTAAACACGTGTCATCGTATCCTCCGCGTCTAAGCTCCCAACTAGCACTGCCGAAAGCTGCTGCAGCCTCCCCCCCCCCACCTCCCCCACGTTTCACAGCTTTACGAGGCCGGTGCAGAGCCAGAGAGAAGAAGGTGAGAAGCGAATTCTGATCGACGGGCCGATGATGCCTAGACTAGACGACACCTGTCTACTACTAGGTCTCGGTGGAAGGCAGTGGCATGGTGGTGCACTAGTACAGGAGGAGGAGGAGGTTCCTCTCCACGTCCGCCGCGTTTCATGCCTGCCGATGACGCTGCACTCCTCTGTCAGCCTCAACGTCCTGGACGCGGCGCGGACTCGCGATGAAACAACACTATTTGCCGACGGGGATCGGCCACGGGGGAACTAGGGTGTCACGTCCCAGATCTCGGCGAGGAAAACTGGCAGCTTTTTGTTCTTGAACTTCAGACTGAAGCACATCTCGCTGTTCTGGTTGCCGAGGGTCCGCAGCTCGGTCAACACGGACAGCAGCCTCGCGAACACCGTGCCCGGATTCGGTCTGCGCCTGTTGTCCACGTATGCCCTCAACGCCTCCAGATAGATCTCCTGAATCTTCTCGACCTTCCACCCTTCGAGCAGGTTCGGCCTCTCTGCAAGAAAACAGGGGAATCTTTTCTTTGTGGCCGGGCTCTGGGGATCGGCTTCGATCAATGTTAGCTGGTCGGTTGTTAGGATGAGCGGGCTAATGATTTCTTTTCAACGAGTAACGAACGATTTCGCGCGATCTTTGTTGAACGATTCCTTCGAACGGAATTATCGGTGGCGACGAATCGATGAACGTGCTCTGCTCGATACGAATCAGACGGATCGAAACAGTAGTAGTCTCCTACGTACCTGAGAATATGACGATGGCCGTCAACAACGCGTACTCGGCGTTGTTCACCTTCATGGCGTACATCTGCCGGCAGAAATGTAGCAAATCCTCGATCGTCTCGCCCATACCCGCCACGGTGTAGCTGTCCTTGGTATAAGGCTGGTTATTGGCGAATATTATGCTGTCCGTCTGCACGTCGTACTTCCTCGCCATTCGGAGCATCATCACCTCGCTCGAGCAGGCCTTGAGCAGAGCGATCTGATCCTCCCGCATCAGCTCGTCGAAGCCGGGCAATCTCTTCGAGAACTCGACGATCAACTGAACCGTCAGGATCGTGATCTCGGTGATGTGCCTGAACTTGTAATCGCTTATATCCTCTCCCTCCGAGGGCTGATTCTGAATCGTTGCGAATCAATTACACGACAATCATCAACAACAGCAATAAACAATGACAAACGTCTAATCTTACCGTGATCCTCTTGAGATCCTCCTCACTGGGTTGCTCGTACTCGTTCTGGAAGTACACGAGCCTGTGTATCAATTCCTCCTGCTCGGGGCTGATCGGTTTCACGTAGCCGTAAGGGCTGACCGGCGTCAAGATCCCGCTGCTCCCCGACGTGGACAACGACTCGGCCTCGGCTGGCTCGATCTTCACGCCCATCTGGTCGCTCCGTATCCCGCTCCCCGGCGAACCGTTCATCGTTGTACTGTTCGGCTTGTCCTTCTCCTGCAACCCAGGACCGTCCCCTCTCCCTTTCTAAACCGATTCTCGACTCGATCGAGGGGAAAGAAGGGGGGGAGGAAAGGAAAGGAATATACCTTTTGCGCCTTCTTCTCCTTGCGCTTCACGGCGCACTGGTACTCGGGCACCACGCATTCGGGCCTCATCCCAACGGTCAAACACTTCTTCAGCCTGCACTCCTGACACTTGCGCCTCATGTACATGTCGATCTCGCAATTGTTCCCGTATTTACACTGGTAGACCGCGTTCTTCGTGATGCTCCGTCGAAAGAAGCCCTTGCAACCCTCGCAGGTCAGTGCGTTGTAGTGGTAGCCGGAGGCACGATCGCCGCACACCAGGCACAACTCCTCCTGCTGCCTCGGGGTCGGCCCCTTCTTCTTCCTGGCGTCGCACCCGTCGCTGCCTCCGCCGCCTCCGCCGCCTCCTCCTCCACCACCGCCACCTCCTCCTCCTCCTCCTCCTCCGCCTCCGCTGCTCCCATACCCGTTCAAAGAGCCAGGCTGCGACAACTCGTCCCTACCTGCCGGGCAGATGGGTGAAAATTTTCGAATCAGAAGTTTCGATCCACGATCGTTTCGAATGCGTGGGGTGGGTGGTGATGATGGATCATTGTTCGCTGTTGTTCTTATCATTATTATTATCGTCGTTGCGAAAATTCTGGTTTTGCTGGTTTTACGTCGTGTTTTTTCTTTTTTTTTTTTCTCCTCCCCCCTCGTTTTGTGCACGTGTTGCGCATTCGTTTTTTTTTTTTTTTAGGTTAGATACCTAAAAATATTGGATATCTAAAGGGTAATACGATTCATTCCCCCCGTCGTCCTAAATTCCATCGGTAACCCGATCCTCCCCTGCGTTCCATAAATAGGTGACATCTTTTAAACGTTCCAGTAAACTTTATATATATATATATACATACGTTGTTTCTCGATTTTCGAGGATATTCGATCTATCCAGAGAAACGGATAAAATACGAAAAATAAATTTTTCTAATCCAAGTTATTCCGTTCTCGAGACTAACTAAGCATTTCCCTCAAATCGACTCAGTGTGGCTCGGTTCCAGTAACCTACGTGGCGACATCGTCTCTATTATCCCCTTTATCCGTGGAACTCGTCGAATGGAACGCCGCGCTGTGGAAGTCACGGTCGGTGAAAGTACGCTCGTATCCTCCACCGACCAGCCGGAATCGGCCGCGTGGTTTCGTGGCCGAACGGAAATTCTACTCGCGGCCGATCTCGGCGGGTGTCCTTATTCTTGAAAATGTTCGAGCAAATGCGCAACTGTTTCTGCCTCTCTGATCAAAAAGAAAAAAGAAATCTAGAGAAAATCTATGATTGTGTGTATACGTGTGTTCGGGAGGTAATTAAAATTGGAACAATTTTAATCTTGAAAGAGGATAGTTAAAAGTATCTACATGCTGTGAAATGAAATTTTTAATTTCAAAATTAGCGAGAAATCGGATATTTTAGACTCGAGTTAGAAATGTGTTGGTTGCTAAATATAACGGTTCCAAGATCTGATACCGTTGATGCTTGACTGATCAAAAATCTAGAGAGAAGATCTACGATTCTAAATATACGCGTATGGGAGGTGAAGCGGGGGAAATTAAGAATATTGGAATATTTAATTTTGATTAGAAAGAGAAAAGAAGAAACAAGGATGATATTCTTGGGGGGGGGAAAAAAAAAAACCTCGTTAAAGAAATTTTTAATTATTTCAAATTGTATTAATGTTGGTCACCGAATGTAATAACTGTTCCAAGTATCGATGATACAAATTTCTGATATCATAATTCACTAAAATAACGCATTCGAGTGATGCTTATATACTTGCCATTCGCAAAGCGTTATAATTGTAAATTCCATTTAAATACGATCACTTTTTGAAGTCATTCGTTTTCTCATCGCTTGACGCTTCGGCAAAGAGGACGATTTGAATTTCTCTCAAGAAAAGCAAACGTGTGTCGTGTGTGTGTATATATATATATATATATATATATATATATCTCTTCTTCGTCGACTA